TCTCTCAATAATAACATCGACCTCCGCAACACACGGTAAAACGCTGCAAAAGGTCTTTGGCAGCTGTAAAAGCCTTTTTTTGGTTAGTGAAAATTGGGTACCTACTAAAGATATGTAAAAGCATAAAAGTATGCAAATAGGGCGCCCGGCTCTGTCAGTTCACTTATTAATCCAAGTTTACCCTCATCATTGCATAGTTTTTAAATTTACAATTTGCACTTAGATGATCACAAAAAATGAGGCACTTTAAATCATTTGATGTTAGATTCCACTTGATATCACCCACTGCAAGACCACTAGATTCATTTAAGTTTCTGAAAAAACAATTATAAGCAAAATAATCACAATTCACTCAACTCCTGGTAACATGGAAAAGATATTTTTAGACGAGAAAAAGGAAATTCGACGACTTCAAAGAAAACAAAGAGAAATAAAAAAGAAGGCACACAAATAATGATTCAAAAAAAGTTCAAATCCACGAGCAGGTATAGGTGTTATTGAACATCCACATGCAGATAGCATGCACAGTAATACCAACAATGTCAAGTGATTAGAAAAACTAAGGAGAATTTTGCCCAAGCTTAAACACAAACTATATGTTTCCAAACACATTCAAATAAGTTACTATTAAGTAAAAATTAAAAATAAAATAAAAAATGAAGTTACTTATTTTGAAAGTACTTCATCCATCCCATTTATAGGTTTATTTTATTTTTCATACGAATTAAAAAATCTTATTTAATGTTATTGAAAAAATAATTTTTGCCAAAAAATTTTCAAGTTTACACTTATTTATATTTGTACAATTTCGAGATTATGTGAAAAATTGATTATAATTAGATAAATTAAATAATGATATATTAGTAAACAAACAAAATAAAATATTCTCAATAAAGAAATATGACTATATGATTGGGACAAGAAAATAACAAAAGTCAGCCTATAAATGGGACGGAGGAAGTATTTATAAGTGTTATGCCTTAGGTCCAATCAAACTTTGAACATAAACACTTTTAATATATAATTGATGTAATTTTATGACAGATCTATTATCTAATTAATATTCAAATTTTAGTAATTTGTTAATTACAATAAATTGCAACTATGAGG